ACCCTAAACCGGTTTGGGCTCTGGTTTTGGAGTTTGGGACTTTGGCTTTCGGCTTTCGGCTTACGGGTTTAGGGTTTAGGGTTTAGGGTTTAGGGTTTAGGGTTTAGGGTTTAGGGTTTCGGCTTTCGGCTTTCGGGTGTAGGGTTTAGGAAGGGTCCTGACCCCTTATCCCAAGCAAGGCGGCTCCTGCCAACAAGATCGATGCAATTCTCCTGCAGCTTCAGAGGCCCGATCAGGGCTCAGGGTTTGGGGTGTAGGGTTTCGGGTTAAGGAAGTTTGCAACTTCGGATACTGAAAGCATCAGGGGATTCAGCAAGTAGGGTCGACTTATCACCCCTATCTGTTTTTCACCCCAAGCGGTGCATATAAGTTAAGCTACGAAGTCCCCTCATCCCCACAAAAACACTACTCAAAAACGATATGTGTGGACATAGTATAATACTATATTCAATCATACACAAAGCAGCCATTACACCATGTATAAGGGTTGTGCTGGCATATATATATATATATATATGTATGTATATATATATATACACACATATGTTGTGTGTGTTTATCATGAACAGCCTATCTTGCGTAGGATGTATGTATAAATGTACGTAACCAGACATATAAAGAATCATAGACAGAGGTAGAAGATCAGGGCCTGCGAATCCAGACATCACATGTTGCGAGACCTGACCCTGGAGCCTGACGGTTCATACGGTTGATGATTTGATGACGTAAACCCTGCATCACCCACAAGGAATAAACCATAGGGTTTAGGGGGTTAGGGTTTATAGGGTTTAGGGTTTTAATAAGGAACAAACCATAATTCCCATTAGTGCAGGATTCTTTATCATCAACAGTAGTATGTCATAGGGTTTATGGCCTACTCAGAGGTCCAAGAAATCCTATCCCTGAGAGCCTCTGGATTCATGACTCTATACCCAAGCGCAGATGTGAAAGCCTGCTTTCTATAATCCCTTGGGTTATAAACATCTTAAACAAAATGGAAGGATTTGGCAGATCCACACAGGAGTACCTAAGATGAACGGGTTCAAAAGGGTTTGGAGCTCCGCAGATACGCCTCTGCCTGAAATTTTGAACCATGACGATATGCCCCAGCCATCATTTACCCCTAAACCCTAAACCCTAAATCCCTAAACACCTATACTCTCCATTGTAGTTCCTCTTGTGGTGCACCTTTTAGGAAAACTCTTCTGCCCAAAAAGCCCTGCTCATTCCGAATCTGGGCCGGCCCCTGAACCATGAGGTTAGGGCTTAGGTCGAGGTTTTAGGCCAACTAAGCCCTAAACCCTAAACCCTAAACCTTAAACCCTCAACCCTAAACCCTAAACCCTAACTAAGCTTCTGTCTTCTCTTGTGAATTTGGGTTGATGCTGCACGGGCTTACGATTGGGCTCGCCCCGGGGCGGTGCCTGTCTGCTATGTGGGGCTTTGCTTGTCCCTACTTGGAGGTTCATGGGTAGTTATAAGTGGAGTTATAAGTCCCCTAATCTAGGTTATAACTATATACCCTACTTATAACCCTACTTATAACTACCCATGAACCTCCAAGTAACGCTATCGAAGAAACCTCCTTTCTGGCCAAAGTGACCAACCAGAAACCTCTTCTGGACACACTCCCATATGCTTCGTGAAATTGTATACAAACATGTGGGCCAGACAAGATGATGTAGCCTGCGGCTTTTGCACTCCCCTGTAGCCTCATACGGCCCAGCCAGAAATCTGCAGAACCCTGCAGGTAAGTAAGGGTTTCTTCAAGTTAAACCCTAAACCCTATACCCTAAACCCTATACCCTAAACCCTAAACACATGTTTCTTTCGGCCGTCCTGCACCTTCTCATGCCTGTTCTTCAGGATGGGCGTCAATCGAGGAAGCAGATCCTCCAAAAGGCCGTCTTAGTGCTCTGAGTTCACCGTCTATGGCATTATGCCATGTTCGTCTATAGGGTCTAAAGCCTAAACCCCTAAACGCCCGAAAGCCCCCTAAACTCTAAACCCCAAACCCCGAAATAAGCTGTAGCCCCTCAACCCTAAACCCCCAAACATAAGCCATTCTATAGGGTGAGGGTCGGACGCGAGTAATTAGGGCATAGGGCTTTCAAGTGACTTGAGCCTGCGGCTCAGGGCTTGAGGTTTCGATCCTTTGGCTCTGCTTCACGAGATTACTTGGAGGTTCATGGGTAGTTATAAGTAGGGTTATAAGTAGGGTAACTATAGTTATAACCTAGATTAGGGGACTTGTAACTCCACTTATAACTACCCATGAACCTCCAAGTACCTGAATAGGTTTAATGCACCCATAGGCGCCATAGTAGTTCCTTTTTGGGGTTCTTTTTTTCAATCCTATTGGGTAATCCCAAAAAGGAACGACTATGGGGCCTATGGGTAAGTCCTTTAATATATAATGATTGATAGCTTAGGGCTTGGGATTTCTGATTGGATTTCGAGTTTAGGGCTTGAGGTTTCGGGCTTGGGATTTGGGGTTTAGGGTTTGGGGTTGAAAGTTTAGGCTTGGTGTTGGGGAATGAAGCTCCTGCAGGTCAAGCGTCACATGCATGATTCCCACACGCGCAGAAGCCCCAAAGCAAATGTGGTCTCCAAGCCCGAAGCAGTAGCACCTAATGTAGGGGCCTTAATAACTAGAATAGGGTTGTGGGGGCTCCTTATCATAATTATAGTATAATACACCCCCAAACCCTATTCTCCTTCCAAAGCGCTACAACACTCTCAAGATCTCAAGCAAAGGCGAATCTTTCGCACCGGTTGTGCGATGATTGCACTTGCCATCACTAAACCCGCAGACTGTGCCGGGCATTCCCTGAAACCAAAAACCTCTGCACGAGTACAACTTGTACAGATGTCTACAGCACTTAGGCTAACACCAGACACCTCTACTTCCGAAATCCACCCCCCCCCCCCCCCCCC